AATGTAAGAAACTCGGAACTAAACTGAAATAAATGCGCGTATCGACTCCTAAACATACTTGCAAGTCTAAACGCGTTGAACACATACGTATATAAGCAATTGCTTTTAAGATTCGGGAAATGCAGCATTTGCTTAAAAATATTATTCATCGCAAAATTTAGCAATAGCTAGTTAAGCAATTGCTTTTGCCAAAAAGTAATTGCTCAAAGTAATTGCTTAGTTTTTATTCATTAGGCTCCTTGTCTCTGAAAAATATATCCATTTATTCGTGGAAGTGTAACTTTTGGTTATGACGGTTCTGTCCTGCAAAGATGTACACATTGCATCTTGGTTGGAAGCCTCTAGCTTTTTACGTTAATGACCAGTTGTTGGCTATCCTATCATGCAACTTGGCATGTTGATGTGATAGTAACTGAGGTCCATCTGACGAGGTCACTTTCTATTTTCGATGTCATAAAGAACAAGCGATTGGTATTGCGTAACATATGCATGAATAAACGACAATTAACGGCCATATGAGGAATTTCGGAAACATCGCTTTTTAGGATTCTACAAATGTCTTGTAAATAACAAAGGCTATTGCGAAACTCGTATGTATGAATGAATACTTTCACTAAGAGAATTTTTAATGATTTATTATCTTAACGAAGGCAGCACGCTAATAGACAGGTATTTGGTGGTCACGGCGATACAGTGTGTCCCGGATTCGCTTCTCTATACTGCGATCTCGGCTCCTGTTATACCTACAGAAAAGGTTAAAGTGGAATGTCCTAGAGGAAACTTAGTGCTTCCAATAGTAGGCTTCAGATTTACGATCGGTCATTCGGTTTTAAAAATATCAGCAAAAAACCGAAAATGGCGGAATCCGTTTTTTGCCAGTAAATCCAAAACGGTTAATTTGACAGCTGTCAAAATGTGACATTATTCGGACATTTTTTTAATAAAAATAAGATTTTTTAGTCTGTTTTATGATCTTGATGAGACAAAAAGGTTCCTACTACTTATTAAAACACAATTTTAAACTTCGAATTAGTTAACGTCAAAGTCAGAGACTCCTTACATGAAAAAACTGCGTTACTTATAATTTTTTTTCAGACAAATAAATCATGGCCTCCTTATAAAAAATTAATACCTAACATTACGTGTGAAGATATTTCGATAATACTCCAGCTTTTATGCACTTGTGAGACATCACTGCGGTTGAAATTTTACGCTATTTTCAAAAATCGAAAAATCCAATATGGGTGGTCATAAGAAAAATGAAAGTTCAGGTACGTTGCGAAAAAACAAAAGACTATTGAAACATGCCATACACTTATTTGCCTTAAAAAAATATCCGATCAATGTCACATTTTGACAGCTGTCAAATTAACCGTTTCAGATTTACTGGCAAAAAAACAAAATTCGACAGTTTCGGTCATCGAATGCACTAAGTTTCCTCTAAAACCTTTCCGGTTGAACCTTTGCTGTAGGTATAACAGGAGCCGAGGTCCCTGTATAGAGAAGCGAATCTGGGACACACTGTAGATCTCCGATAACGAACGTATATAGCATCTACCTCGTGTCTAATTGCGCGGATATGGAACAAATAAAAGAAAATGTATCAATGAATTGATGACACGGTAAGGCACTGTTCTCTCGGCAACTCCACTTCAACCCAGTTTCGTGTCGTTTTGAGATTCTAAAAAAGTCACTAATATGTACATATGTACTATTTTTATTGATCAAAACTAAAAGAAGTAATCAAACAACTAACATTTTTGTGATATTTTTGATCATCACCAAATACATAACAAATGTAATGTCCTATCAACGATCTGCAGAAAGTAACACCTTATAAGTGAACATACTTCCTCAGTCAGTGGCGTCGTAACTGTAAGTCGAAGACAGTGTTTGACTACTTTAAAACACTAAATATACTGGCAAACGAATTATCTGATGGAAATGTAAAGTGGATCTGGTAGAAAGCACCAGCTGGTAAAAGACCTCTAGGTCGCCCCTGTATGAGATGGGTGGATAACATCAAGTCAGACCAGTCAAAATGGATTTGAACCTTGACCCAGTAGTAATGGAAGACCACAAGAGATGGAAGCAAATTGTGAGGTAAGCCACAACTCATCCTGTTTGTAGTAAATAGTTAGTAATCAGGGAGCTGATGAGTATGCCAGGAAAAGAGCTGATCTCTCCCTTTTAATGAAGGCAACCATAGTGTGGTATTTCATATGGCCTGTTTTCCGGATCACTGCCTTCCGATGGGTATCAAATAAGCGTCAAAAGAAGATGACCGAGAAGTGGAAAACCAAGATACGAGGGTGGTCCCAGAAGTACCCGACACAACGAAGAAAACACAAAAATTGTGTAAAAAAGCTATTTATTTTTCAACATAATCTCCTTTGAGCTCTATACACTTTTCCTAGCGATGTTCAATAAGTTCGATACCCTTTTTATAATAAGAACTGTCTTGCTCCTCAAAATAGCCATTAACTGCCGACATCACTTCTTCATCGTTGGAAAATTTTTGACCACTGAGACATTTTTTCATGTTTGGAAACAGAAAATAATCCGATTGAACTAAATCTGGTGAACAGGGTGCATGAGATAGCAACTCAAACTTTAATTCGTTAATTTTGGCCATTGCAATAACGGATTCGTGAGCTGGTGCATTGTCTTGATGAAACAACTTTCTTCTTAACCAAATGCGGCCGTTTTTGCTTGGTTTCATGGCTCAAACGATGCACTAAGATCGCATAATACTCGCCGTTGATAGTTTCACCTTTTTCAATATAGTCAATGAAAATTATCCCACGCGCATCCCAAAAAACCAACGCCATAACCTTGCCTGCAGATGAAACGGTATTCGCCTTCTTTGGAGCTGGTTGTCCCTTTTGAGTCCATTGTTTTGATTGTTCTTTTGTCTCGCGTGTGAAGTGATGGACCCATGTTTCATCCATGGTTATGAAACGACGCAAAAATTCTGCTTTATTGCTGTGAAACTTCGCTAAATACTCAATTGAAACATCTATACGACACTGTTTTTGCTCGATTGTGAGCAATCGCGGCACCCATCTTGCGCACAGCTTTCTCATGTCCAAATTTTCAGATAATATGCGATGAACCGCTCTTTTTGAAATGCCTACTATGTCTGCTAGCTCGCGCACCTTCAGTCGACGATCATTCAGTACCGCTTTGTGAATTTTCTTCTAGAGTCGTCACCTCCTTTGGTCGACCACTGCGATGCTCGTCTTGGCAGCTCATACGGCCTCGTTTAAACTCTGCTGCCCAATATTTTACTGTTGTAAACGAAGGAGCAGAATCACCTAGAGTAGAATATAGTTAAGCTTTTATATTGGTTGGGCTGAGGCATTTGAAATAAAAGTATTGTACCACAAAGCGATGACCAATTTTCTCCATTTTCACAAATTCACTGAAAACGTTCAGTATTGATGGCTGCCAAACAAATACTAAACAACGTGGAGTCTTCAAACTTGACACATATGCTTTATAGGTTGCATACTTTCTAATACAATGATATTTTTCAAACAACTATCGCCATATCTAGGTCAGGCTGGGTACTTCTGGGACGACCCTCGTAATACTGGTGAGGCTGTAAAGATGCAAGGCAACTGAAATTGGGGTTATATTGCACTACTCCAGTTTAGCTAAGCTTAGCTAAGACAAACTTACATCTGGCAATAGTGTATCTTGAGTAACTTTTTAACAGAGTTACGTCTTCAGCTACAAATGTGTTGGTTGATTTCATTTGCAGTTTTTGAAAACCATCTGTTCAGTGATATTTGGCAACTAATCGTTATGGTTTAAATCAGGACAACGAATGTAATATACTATAAGATTTATTGAAGTCAGGCAGCACACAGAGCCATTTATAACCAGAATCGATCACTGCGAAAGTGAAAACAGCAAGACGTCTGTTGGAACTGTATTCCAGTTGAAAGCTGGGCCACCACTGCGGCCGCCAAATACCGTCGACTCTGATGGTATAGTAGATACGAGCTACTCGCCAATGAACAAACTACTAATATAGCTTCGTCTCGGCCGACCATAGATCGATGGCATCTAGCAGCCACAGCAGTGATCCAGATGTCAAATGCGAACGGAAATACAGTCTCCCTATTACACTTTGTCGCAATTTTCACATTGGGAACTACACAGCTATCATACAGATCTAAAAAAAGTTAAATGAAATTGTTGCAATATTATTACAATATTCAGTAATTTGTTTCGTCACCTTCATCAATGCTTGTCATATCTATGCCCATATTTCAAACATTCAAACTTTGCAAACAGTAATCTTGGGTACTCGACCATTGCATTATCTAAACCAAAGTTCATTTCAGGATCAGCTAAGCATAAGGTCAGCGTTATTATTTTTATTATTTACGAAAAATTTGACGTTTCGATGTACATGTTTTGTTGAGAAATCTGTTTGAGTGTGACAAATTTTTGTGTCTCACTGTTAAAAGGTAAGTTTGTGGATTTACAAATTTCCGTTACCATTTTTATTTAAATTACTGAATTGTTGATTGAGTGAAGACGCGTTCATATATCGGCCATTGGGACTTTTTTACCACGTCACAATCAAACCAACGTGGCGAAATAATTTTGAAACGACCAACTTTAAGTACCTAATATTGATTCCAAATGTATTCAAAATTACTATCATAACGTCAACCTGCCTACAAAAATATAAATCTCCCGGTGGCCAATACACTGTTGAATACATTCCGTTATTAAGATAAAATAATTGGCACATAATTAGTAACTACATGTAGCTATTTGGCTTGTTTATTTATTACTTGTTTGTTTTATTGTTATAGGTGCAAAATGTCAGCGAAAAAAAAGAAAGTTTTCCGAAGATTACGTTAAGATTGGATTTACCTTCATAGAAAAGGACGAGTTACAATTGCCTCAGTGTGTGATATGTATGAAAGTTTTAAGTAATGATAGGATGAGGCCCAATCGAATTGAAAGGCATTTGAAGTAACAACATCCTACTCCGGTTTTGAAGACGAAAGGGTTTTTTTCTTCTAAAGCGGATGAGACTGGATAAATCGGGAAGTTATCACACAGGTGTATCGCAGCATCTCAAAGTTTCATTTGAAATAGCTTTTATGATAGCAAAGCAAAAGATTCCTAATAATATCGGTGAAGAATTAATAACACCATGTGTCCTAGGAGCCACGCAGATTTTAGGAGAAGATGCAGAGCAAAAAATGAAGTCTATTTCTCTTTCGAACACCACAGTCAAGCATAGAATCGATGACATTGCAGCAGACATAAAGTCACAAATAATTAACAAAATAAAATTATCGCCATTTTTTGCCATTAGTTGCGATGAATCCACCGTCATCGCTAATTATGCACAGTTAATAGTTTATGCTCGTTACATCGGTGGAGGTATCATTCAAGAAGAGATTTTCTACTCCCAATGGTTGACAGCAGGTACTACATCTGAAGATATATTCAATTCAATCTCAAACTTTGTTGTCAAAAATTATTTGGATTGGAAGGAATTCATTGGACTTTGCACAGATGGCGCACCTGCATGGATAGGTGTACGATGGGGCTTAGCTAAAAAGCTCAAGGAAAAAATCTCGCAATGGTTAGTACACATTGTGTTATTCATCGGCAAGCTTCGGCTTCCAAAACATTGCCACAGAAATTACGCCAGACTTTGGAGTCGGCTATAAGCATTGTAAACTACATCAAGAGCAGCGCTTTGAACAGCCGGTTATTCACTTCACTTTGCTAGGATCTTGATTCTGATCACAAAGTTCTTCTGTTCCATACAGACGTACGCTGGCTGTCCAAAGGCAATATGTTGGTTCGCCTTTTTGAATTGAACGAAGAGGTAGTTCTTTTCCTTGAGTTCAGAGAAAACACGATTTCTTGACAATGTTCAAAGATGACACATTTCAATGCAGGTAGGCTTATTTAATTGATATATACTAAGTGACATATAAATCCGAACAACCAGTTTAAATGGTTTTATTTTAATAAAATTTTGTATAAGTACTTAATGAAGTATAATAAGTAAATGATAAAAATTTCAAAATGATTGCACTGCTTTAAAGCCCTTTGACCTTTAATAATGTGTGCTGCACCCTGATGTGCTACGCATTCTCCAAAGCGCCTAGGCATGCTTCTGATCAGGTGGTCAATGTGCTCCTGTGGTATCTCATTCCAGGCAACCACCAACTCCTCTCGAAGTGCTTCTAGAGTCTGAGGAGGACGTTGCAAATTGAGCAATCTCCTACCCATCATATCCCACACGTGCTCAATTGGGGATAAGTCGGGAGATCTTGGTGGCCATGGTAACAATGTGACATCATTATGTTGAAAAAAGTCTATTGTGACTCTTGCAACATGTGGTCGGGCATTACCTTGTTGGAAAGTTGGATCTGCCAGGGTGTCAAGATAGGGTAAAAGATGGGGTTCTAGAACTTCGCGGATATAACGCTGCGCGTTCATGTTACCTCTGATGAAGATTAAAGGTGACCTGGAACCATAAGCTATAGCACCCCAAACCATAACTCCAACAGTGTGATGAACATGTCTTTCAACAAAAAACTGTGGATTCCTCCTATCACCACGTCACCTTCTAACCCTGCACGACCATCGTGCAGGCCTAAACAAAATCGAGACTCGTCACTAAAGACAATACTGTTCCATTCCTGATCCCAGAGTGACCGTTGTCTGCACCAGTCAAGGCGATTACGTCGGTGTTCTCGAGTTAAAGGGAGGACCCAGTGTGGCCGGTATGAAAACAAGCCAAAACTTCTCATTCGTCGGTTAACACTTCGCATGCCAATATGTCTTCCGTGTTCTGCAAACCATTCATTTGCAATGGACCTGGTAGTGGAGAAACGGTCCCTTAAGGCCAATAATTTTAGGCGGTGATCTTCCCGGTCTGTTGTTCCACGGCGGCGTCCAGTGCCCCTTGCTCTTTGCGTACGGCCTTCTCGAAGCCATGCCTGACAACACCTCACCACAGTGTCTATACTTCTTTGCACTCTAACTGCAAGTGCCCGAAAAGAAAGTCCAGCTTCCCGAAGTCCCACTATACGGCCCCTATCAAACTCACTAAGTTGACGAAATCGTACAGGTATCCGTACTCTAGGCATCGTAACCGATCGTAAAGGATGTCAAGAACCAAAATCCGCCAACGTTGATTCTTTACTGCGGCTGAAATATTCATTTTTAGGGCGTTAGTGAATTAAAAAAAAGCAGTATAAAAACCGGAATGTCCAACTGATAAGGCTGAACATTTTTTCACTTGTTATTTACAGTAAGATAAATACATTCACCAACTTTTATTAAAATAAAACCATTTAAACTGGGTGTTCGGATTTATATGTCACTTAGTATATTTGACTCCTTGAATGAGCTAAATTTGAAATTTCAGGGCAGAAACAACACTATAATAAGCAATTATGATTATATTCAGGGGTTTATATCAAAGCTTCAACTTTGGCATCAAAACGTATCTTCTGAAAATGTTATATCCCTTTCTCGACTGTTCAAAGCAATTAAAAATAACATACTCGACGCTAATTTAAAAGCTCATAAAAACTCATTTGCACGCCCTGGAAGACGAATTTCGCCGATACTATCGAGACATCAATTCAGAGTCACCAATATGGCACATAACAAGAAATCCATTTGTTGTCGATGTGTCACAATTACCAGAAGAAGTTCAGGAAGAATTTCTAGTAATGAAGGCTGATTCGTCCATGGAAGATGACTTCCACCTTTTAACATTGGAGAAATTTTGGATCAAAAGATTGCCTGCTAATTCGACACTTGCCTCTTTTGCTTTACGAATACTAGTTCCTTTTTCTTCAACTTACTTATGTGAGACCGGCTTTTCTGCTCTAGTTTTAATTAAAACTAGACAGCGAAATCGTCTTGATGTCGATAGCGACCTGATGATAGCGCTGGCAAAAACAGAACCTAGAATCAACCAACTGGTACTGAACATGCAAAAAACATTTATTATTTTATTTAAACTTTTAAAGTTTCTTTATTAGAATTAAAATAAAAGTCTTTGTACCTATATAGCGTGCGTTTCTTGTATTTATTGAAAAAGTAAAGGTGGGCATGGAAATATAATTTATAGTCCGGGGAGCCCCAACAAAAGAAAAAGGTTGGTTGGTTGATCTGCTCAATTTTGAAAACCCCTGCCCCCTCATGCACCAGATTTTTATTCGGTGATGTACGCTCCGAAATAGTAGGGCTAACAAAAATGACAATGTGTCAAGATTGCTAGGTTATGTTTTTTTTTTCATTAGACTCGCATTAAATGGTAAAAAACTGATAATACTATGACCCAGAGTCACAGCGTATATTTGAGATTAATAATAAAAATCACAAAAAGGCAAGTTCAGAGCGGCTTGTAGTTGGCTAACTAGACACTGCAAATAATTTTGAATGTCTTCACTAAAATATGAATTCTAGACATTTATCCAGAAGCTTTACATTAAAAATACAGACCCCTGACGTGTTGCGCCATCATTCTAAAAGCATTATCAGGCATCAATTGGATAGTCTGACAATGTTTCTGAAAATAAAGACAAAATGTGTTTACATTTTCATTGTTTGGCAGTGTGATACAAATTGTCAACGTCAAAGCAAAACATCAACAAACAGGTTATTTTTTTATCGTCGCGTTCCCATGCACATTTGCTAGAGCAGTTCGGGAGCGTCACACTCCCGGTGCACGCAACACTCAATTCAAAAGCACTGGGAAGCAGCTATGGAGTACTATTGAGCAGCTCGAGTGAGTATGCCGTGTTTGGGAGAATCTCACCATTTTGACTGGAAAGGCTGAGATTCTGTCGATCTTATCTGCCTGAGAATTGCTTTCGCCTGTCCAAAAAAAAACGACTTGCAGCTACCGGGCATGAACCCCGACCTGACTTATACAATCCACGGATGTCTGAATATTAACTACCGAAGTAACGATGACGTCCACCGTAAATTAGATCGTAACACAACCATGGATGTTTTCTTGGGGCATCGTTGTTCCGGCAACGGTAACGCCGCCGTACGTTTCACAAACGTTTCCGATTGTAGGCCGGTCCTTAATTAATGCCGCCCTCACCAGTGCATACTAGCTTCAGCTTCGCTAACGATATGTTTGCTTTGCTTCCTGCAATATATCGTTAAATATAAGCATGCCACCGGTACACTGCTAGCTGCTAGCAACAGCAATGCCGCTCAATAGAAATAACTCAGTTATCGTATTATGTACACAAGTACGTACATACTCTCGTTGACATAATCCACGGTTCTCCATTTGTAGGCGATATTAAACTTGCACGTACTATAACATTAGCAGGCTCTATTCGCGCTGCAAATTATCCCAGTGTCGAGAAAAGTCTTATGCGCTAGGAGCTAACATAACTGCGAGGCCACATCCATATGTATCGCCATGCTGTTTCGTATTTGCTTAATTTGTGTCACATCTACAGCAGTCCCGAGATTTACCTTTTTATCCTTTGATCGACAATGCAAACGCGATGCCTCATGGATTGGTGTAAAATGTTGTCTCTGTTACCCATTAATGCCATGCTTCCTATAGAATATTTTTAAATTTCACGTTTTTCATTCACAAGGAATGAAATGCCAAAATGCTTTGAATACAAGATTGGTGAAGTCATTCTCGAGAGAAGATACTTAACGATGACCTCACTGCCTCAGTCCTATAGTTTGAACAAGTTTCAGCTTCAAAGAGCAAATACAGCAAAATGTTGGAACATACGGATCTATATTTAGAAATTTTAAATTGTTCACCAGCGAAGCTTCAAAAATACTGCATTTTGCATCTGTTAGGTCTAGGCTAGAATATTATTCAGTTGTTTGGCGAAATGCAGCTTTTTCATATTATTTATCTAGCTATCTGCGGAAAATTTCTGTGTAGGTAGATTCAACATTGACTGCTTGGATTTGAGAAAGATCAAGAATTCAATGCAATGTGTTTATATGTGGTTTCATTGTTGTCACCTTGGTTTGCTCCTTGCTGTTGAGTTCATTTTATTGTACCTTCAGTTACCGTTACGGTCATCTGTTTTTACTTCAGATTAATGAGATAAAGTAGCCATTGAATGTATATATCAAAAAATTTTAATGCTTCTTCTAATACCTGTGATATACAGGGTGATCCACAAGTCGTGACCAAAAATGAAACATCATACACAGAACCGCGTTTCCAGGGCTGTGAAGTCTTCTATGTAACATTTTTCCTCAAGGGCTTCATTGAAAAGATTGAAGTTTAAAAATAAAAAACAATTTTTCTAAATATACTAAGTGACATATAAATCCGAACACCCAGTTTAAATGGTTTTATTTTAATAAAAGTTGGTGAATGTATTTATCTTACTCTAAATAACAAGTGAAAAAATGTTCAGCCTTATCAGTTGGACATTCCGGTTTTTATACTGCTCTTTTTTAATTCACTAACGCTCTAAAAATGAATATTTCAGCCGCAGTAAAGAATCAACGTTGGCGGATTTTGGTTCTTGACATCCTTTACGATCGGTTACGATGCCTAGAGTACGGAGACCTGTACGATTTCGTCAACTTAGTGAGTTTGATAGGGACCGTATAGTGGGACTTCGGGAAGCTGGACTTTCTTTTCGGGCAATTGCAGTTAGAGTGCAAAGAAGTGTAGACACTGTGGTTAGGTGTTGTCATGCATGGCTTCGAGAAGGCCGTACGCAAAGAGCAAGGGGCACTGGACGCCGCCGTAGAACAGCAGACCGTGAAGATCGCCGCCTAAGATTATTGGCCTTAAGGGACCGTTTCTCCACTACCAGGTCCATTGCAAATGAATGGTTTGCAGAACACGGAAGACCTATTGGCATGCGAAGTGTTTACCGACGAATGAGAAGT